ACCGTTTCCAAACAGCCTAGCCCTTTGGTGATAGAGGGCATCCTTGTTCTTCAGTATTTTTGGTTCTTCACACTTGAAACTCAGAAAATTCGAACATGCAATGAAAGAAATAACACCCATGCACCAAAAATAGCTCAACTCAAGTCACAGAAACAACATGCAACCATGAATTTTCCCCAAGATCATCAATTCACCTCACATGTATTAAGAACTTCAAAACTCAGTACACACATGCAAGCAATTCCAATCCATCCTCCAAAATTGCAATTTTCAAAAAATCCTACTGACTTTAAGTCCTAAATTCGTTCAACACCCAACAAATTCAACAAAACCTAAAGTCTCCAGCTTCCCTTACCTCGATTATGAGTTCCCCGAAGAAGAAGAAGAAGAAGAAGAAGAAGATGACGATGAAGGACTTCAGGCTGCTCCAAGGTGGAAGAAGAGGAAGAGGAGAAAATGAGCTCCAAGCTCCAAGTATCAAAGATCTTCCTTAAGAATCTGAGAAAAAGAAAGAGACCCCTCTTAAGTTAAGATCTCACAGATAGATCAAGTCTATAATTTTAAAAAAAAAAAATTAATGAAACGGAATATCAAATAGTTTTCAAAATTTTAAAAAATTTACAAACTTGATCTATACATTAAGAACCTTTAATTCAACAGTTGGATTGTTAAAAATTGATGTAAAATGTGATTTACTAAGCGAAGTAAGTCTAAGCAAATTTAGTCCTAGAGTAAGTGAATCTCTCCTCTCTATATATATAGGGGAGGGATTCACTTCGTTTTACATCAATAACTTATGTTTTACATCAAATTTCAAGGATCTAACCGTTGAATTAAAAGTTTTTAATAAGTAGATTAAGTTAACAAAGTTTTAAAAATTTGAAAATTATTTGATATTTTGTTTCATTAATTCAAATTAACGTATAAAATATTTTTATGATTATTTATCAATTTGAATTAATGAAACATAATATCAAATAGTTTTCAAAATTTTTAAAACTTTGTAAACTTAATTTATACATTAAATTTTTATTTAATAGTTGGATCATTGAAATTTAATGTTAAATATAAGTTATTGAGTAGAGTACCTTTAGGTAGACTTATTCTTGGAGTAAGTGGATACCTTCTCATATATATATAAGGAGAGATCGAATTATTTCAAAAGTAACTATTGGTAAAATTATTCTACTCAATAAATCATAATGTAAGTTGAATTTCCATGATCCATTAGTTAAATTAAAAGTTCTTAATGAATAAATAAAGTTCACAAATTTTAAAAATAAAAATTATTTAATTATTTATTTCATTAATTCAAATTAACAAATAATATAAAAATATTATATATATATATATATAATAAAATATTATATTAATTATAATATTTATTACATTAAAAACTTTTAACTTAATAACTAGTTCATTAAAATTTAACATATACGTTAAAAACTTTTAATTTAATAACTAGATAATTAAAATTTAACATACCGATAGTTTGTAAGTGAAAAAATTTATCAAGAGTCACACACGCATGCACACTTTGTAAAATTTAATGTACCAATTTTTTAATAAGTTTAACTAGTTTTGTCATTCAATTTTGTAAAACTGAAGTATACTTCTTAATCAAAATATAAATTTTACCATAGACGTGAAATCTAATCAAATTTAATGAGCTCATTATATTAAATAACAAAATAAATTACTCACTTTAATATCATTTAGTATACAATTTTGCTATAAATAAATATTAGTTGTAATAACTTTGCTATAATTAACTTATTCTCAAATGTATTTATTTAAAATTACTTACTTTAAAATATAATTTGCTAACAATGAAAATGAATAGTAATGATTTTATAAATATGTTAAATTGAAAATAATTCATAATATTTTTTTATTAATAATCAACGATAAAAATTAAAAGTTAAATTATCTTACACATAAATATCGATTTAGCTTTTTTCTTTATATATATATATAAACTCGAACAAACATTTAAAATTTGAAACATAATTTTTACGATGCCCGCTGAATCTAATCGACTTCAATGACAATGTGCCTAATTATATTTAATAACAAATGGATGCTATTATTTATATATTTTTTTATGATCACATATTAATTTCAATAATTTTAAAAATGAGTAGTAATATTAAAAAAAATATTAGTAACTATGCTTGTTTTTTTAATCAACTTGAATTGATGGAAATTCACATCTTTTAAAGTTAGAGATCAAATCTGAATTCTTATAAATACAGAAAATTCAAATTAAAAAAGAAAAAATTCAAATTTTTGTGAATATAAAAAAATTCAAGTAGTCATATTTTTGTTTTACTTATTTAATATTTGTCAAATACTCGAAAATGTTGTGTTGTTATTTAATAAAAAAAAATACTCCTTTTTTGCTTCTCCAAAAAATTGGTAGAACAAATACTCTTTACGAAAAAAAATGCTCATTTTTTTTTAAAAATAGTTACATTGAAATATAATTTGATAAATATGAATGAAGTTCAATTTAAAATAACTAACAAATATTTTATTTTAATTAAAAATTAAAGATAAATTTAGTAAATAAATTATTATGTTTATGAATATTATTATACTTCATTTTTTTAATTTAGCTATTAACATATATTTTAAGAATAATAATAATTAAATAAAATTATTTTATAAATATGGATTTAAATTTAAAATGATTTATAATATGTTATGAGCATAAAAATGTATTAAAAAATTATTATCAGATAAA